CGGTGAGTTGGTCATACATTTGAACAGTAAAAAAATGCGCATAAAAATCATTAGGAAGAAATACGGAAGATGCCCACAAGGTTTGGCTGAGTTGGTTGTTTTCCATACATAGGAGACCTGGAATCGATACCCTCACCAGTTGCCTCTTCAATTAGAGCTTGTCGTATCGGGCTTGCCTAGTACAGTTTACATCTTATGTGTGATTTGCGGGCTATTACACAGTGAGCAAGTTACTCAGTGCGCACCCGAAGGGTACGGCTGCGAATTTTTCTAGGAATTTTCCACAAAAAAAGGAAGATATTCCCCAAAAAAAGAAATAATAATAAAGAAAGAAGGTGTGCCATGGCTGACCTTGAAATTATTTTATTTTATTTTATGAACAAAAACATAACAAGTGTTATAAAATAAATACTGTAAAGTAAATAAACTGAAGACAAGAATAGAGAGAGATTGATATACTATTCAATTTCAAACCGATGTACATAATAAACTGAAAACTCCTCTATTTATAAAAGAAAAGAAATAGCTGCGAGGCTTTTCTTGAGCTGCTTGTAAGCTGCATGCATGAGCTGCTTGCAACCTACATGTTTAATAAGAAGATGTTGCAAATCATTTCATTGAGTTGCTTGCAACCTGCATGCATCAGCTGCTTATAGATAAACTTCAGTAGAGTACCAAATGGATAATCTTCTTTCGGAAGATTATCTATAGCGGAGTAATAAATAGACACCCACAATATAATTATTTTCATAACACTCCCCCTTTGATGTTCATTAAAAAATATTATGTCTCGTTAAAACCTTATTAGGAAAAATCCAGTGAAAAAATCCTAGTGAAGGAAAAAGAGTACACATATTTAGTAATACGCATTTCTAGCTGCCTCATTAAAAACCTTACAAGAAAAACCCCATGGAAAAAATATTAGTAAGGAAAAAAGAGTCCAGCGTGTATTTCACTCCCCCTGATGAAAACTTTATTTCAAATATTTGAGTCTCCGCATTTCAATTTTGCATATCATCTTCTCAAAAGTTAAAGTTGGCAAAGATTTAGTGAATAAATCTGTTGGATTGTCACTTGAATAGATTTGTTACACATCGATGTCACTATTTTTCTGAAGATCATGTGTGTAGAATAATTTTGGTCAAATGTGCTTTGTTTTATCTTTTTTTATAAATTCTCCATTTAATTGGGCTATGCATGCTACATTGGCTTCGTATAAAATTGTGGATCTTTTATCACATTCTAAACCATATTTTTCTTGAATAAAATGAATCGATGATCTCAATCATACGCATTCCCTACTTGCTTCATGAATAGCTATTATCTCAACATGATTTGAAGAAGTGAAAATAATAGATTGCTTTGTGGAGCCCCATAATATGATAGTATCTTCATATGTAAATACGTACCCGGCTTGAGATCGATATTTACGGGGATCAGATAAATAACCTGTATCTACATAACCAACAAGATCTGCACTACCTGTGTAAGCATAAAACAAACCCATATCAAGAGTTCCCTTTAAAATATCGCAAAATATGCTTAATCTCGTTCCAATATCTCCGTGTAGGAGAAGAGCTATATCTTGCTAGTAAATTAACAGAAAATGTTATGTCATGCCTCTTAGCATTAGCAAGATACATAAGTGCACCAATTGCACTGAGATAGGGTGTTTCAGGACCAAGGAGTTCCTCATCCTCTTCTGGAGGTCGGAATGGATCCTTATTCACTTCAAATGATCGAACACTCATTGGTGTACTTAATGGGTGTGCTTTGTCCATGTAAAAGAGTTTAAAGACCCTATCTGTATATGCAAATTGATGGATAAAGATCTCGTCTGCTAAATATTCAATTTCCAGACCAAGACAAAATTTTATTTTTCCAAGATCTTTCATCTCAAATTCTTTCTTAAGATATTCATTTGCCTTTTGGAGCTCTTCTAAAGTTCCAACAAGATTTATGTCATCAACATAAACAACAAGTATAGCAAATTCTCATGTTATTTTCTTTATATAAATATATGGATAAATAACATCATTTATGTAACCTTCTTTCAGCAAATATCCACTAAGACGATTATATCATATGCGCCCAGATTGATTTTAAATCGTATAAAGATCTTTGTAATTTGATCGAGTACATTTCTCGAGACTTTGAATTATATGCTTCAAGCATTTTAAATCCTTCAGGGATCTTCATATAGATTTAATCAAATGAGTTATATAGGTTATGACTTGCACTTAAATGACATGACATCTTCAGGTGTCTGGACTACAGGTCTGATCCTCACAATCTTTTATAATATTGTGCACCATATTGTATCAAATATATCGTGGACGATAATTTTGTATCGGTTCGCAAGCGACATAACTTGTTGGGATCTCATCACTTTCTTTATTTTCAGGTACTTGAACGTCTTCTAGAGTTTCACAAAATATTACGTCGTGGGCTCTTCTAGAGTTTATTTTCTCCTTATTATAATCATTTTTATCATTTGCTCCTATCCTTTTCAAGGATTGTTATCTTTGGAACTGATTGGTCTACCACGCTTCATGCGTACAGTAAACTATATCTTTCAGGGACTTTAATTTTAATAGGAGCATTTGCAGCTGAAATATGATATTTTATTTTGGATCAGCAAATGCTTCTGCATTTGACTTGAATTATCTTCTAAGTGAGGATTATATTAATAAAAATTTGATTCATATAGCCCGGGACCATTAGAAAATAGCCATTTTATAATTGGGGTTAAAACAAAGTTGGGGGGTTAAATGGCTATTTTCTAAATAGCCAACGGCTATTTTTGGGCTGCCCAACGACTATTTTTTAAATAGCTAATTTTTTTTTATTTTTAAAAAAACTGACGGTTGGGACCGTTTGGCCCGCCAAGGTCCCGGTCCTACTGGTTCCAAAGCCAAGAACCGGCCCACGAGACCGGCCCAGGCCCACATATACCGGTCCCGGCCCACTTAGCCTGTTTGACCTGTTTGAACCACGGTCCCGGGCCCGGACCAGCTCACTTGCCACCCTTAGCTGGTATAATCAATTTATTATGAGAAAAAGCAACTCAAGTGAATTTTTGAAGAATCTTCTAAATCTTCAATTTATGTTTATCATAATTCTCAATTAGTTCATCATATTTAAACCATATGGCAAATGTAAACTTCAAGTTTATCATGGCATGTGCTATCTTTTAGTAAACTTCTGGTTTACTATGACATAAACTTTTGCATTAGTAAACTTCTGGTTTACTATGACATAAACTTTTGCATTAGTAAACTTCTGATTTATTGTGGCTACTTTTGTATCAGCAAATTTCTGTTTTACTATAGCTATTTTTGCCGCAGTAAAACTTCTGATTTACTGTAACTGCTTTTGCATTAGTAAACTTCTGGTTTACTTTGATACATAATGTAGTACAAATTAAAGAATAAGGCGGGTAACTTCTCACATACATATTATTTTATCCCCTATGATTATGGAAACATGAAGATTTTCAATCTTCTAGTCATATGTAGTCTCAACAGATGGCCATTTATATTAGTAAACTTCAGGTTTACTACAACATATGTTTTGATCTTAATCATATAATATGAATAACATATTTGTATATAAAATCTTCGAGAGCCTTCATTTATTATCCACAATCTAATATTTATCGGATACTACTGGTGTCATGTGTCTTCTAGACAAACAGTTAGCTCTTCAGGAGCTTTTGATAAATTTTGTACTACCAAATATTGTTCTGACACTTCTGGTGTCATGAATGAAAATCATAATCAAATGAACAATAGAAAGACAATTCTAAATTTATAAATGACCAAAATTAAGAATTTTAATATTTTTACTTCTACATAATATTTTCCTGCTTCAGGAGGAAATTTTAATTATTACTATTTCAGGAGAAATTTAAAATATGAAATATTGAGAATATATTCTCTCAACCGTATTACCTCTTCTGGAGGTGAATCGCAATATATTTACATCAATAGCGCGTTCATATTTAATATTGTCACATTCACTTCAGGAAATGGATTAATCGAGGTATGCAAAAGTTCTTTTCCTTTAGGAGATAGAACATAATTATCTGAACGTGCATAATCACATCAAATTGTGATGCTTCAAACCTCTTTTAAGATATTTGCTATTTCATAAGCAAATCGAGGTATGTATATAATATGAAGAATTTTCTCTAACTTATCTTCAATATAACCATAGCAAGCCTAAATTATTACTTCTGATGGTCATAGGTATATAACACTTCTGGCGGTTAACAAAATTTAGTTACAATGAGATATATGAAACATAGCCACTTCTGGTGGCCGTACTCTGCTGGAGTTCAAGTGAACTATGAAATTAAGTCATAACGAGACTTAGAAAATATTACCATTGTTGGTAATTATATATAAACTCTGATGGAGTTTACATGGAACTGATATTGTTATTCACCTTTTAATCCTTCACTAAACGATCAAGGAGGAAAATAAGTACAAAAATAGCAATTGTATAAGTATACATAGTCCCCAATCGTTTGCCACATAAACTACTGGTGTAGTCTCGCGACCATATAATAGTTTCAATAAAATTAATTTTTTCTTTCCAATTTTGCGAGGTCACATCCAAGTAAAATGACATATGCATCATTATTGGCTAGAAAAAGAAACTCCGTACCTTGGAGTATTTGCTCGAGATGACAGAGTCTCATGCTGATAACGTGTTATAAAATAAAGACTATAAAGTAAATAAGCTGAAGAAAAGTATAGAGTGAGATTGATATATTATTCAACTTAAAACTGATGTACATAATGAACTGAAAACTCTTCTATTTATAGAAGAAAGGAAGCAGCTGCGAGGCTTTTCTTGAGCTGCTTGTAAGCTGCCTGCATGAGGTGCTTGCAACCTGCCTATTTAATAAGAAATTGTTGCAAATCATTTTATTGAGTTGCTTGCAACCTGCCTGTATCAGCTGCTTGTAGATAAACTTCAATAGAGTACCAAATGGATAATCTTCTTTAGGAAGATTATCTATAGCGGAGTAATAAATAGACATCTATAATATAATTATTTTCATAACAACAAGCTTAATGTAAACGTGTAGTACATCACACAGCTTTTATTGTTGTATATGTGGAAATTTATGGATTACATAAAAAAGAGAAAAAAGTTCAAGCTACTATGAATATCATCTCTCCTGTTCAAAGTTTTTATTTTATTTTATTTATTTATTTATTTATTAACAAATCTCCTAGTCAAAGTTGACTGCAATAAAGATGTCCCAAGGCCAAATAATCCAATTTTAACCAAAAAGAGAAATTCAACCTAAACTTCCCAAGCTTGCAATGCTGCCAAAATAACAAGGATAAAAATTAGAAGAAAATTAATTTAATTAACCAAAATTTATAGTAATTGAATGTAATTTCTTTTATGCTGACTGTGTGAAGTGTTTTCATATTAAAATATAAGATAATTAAAATTAAATAAATAAATAACTTTTATAGAAAATTAACTTATTTTAACAGATTAAATTACACTGATAACGTAAAAACGGATTAATTTACTAACCTTCTTGAGAAAGAGTCCATTTATTATCCACCCCAACATGCCATGCAAAATAACCAAGCAATCCCTTCTTCTTAACATAAGCAACCTTAGTAAAAATGGTATTAAATTCATCAAAATTAATCCATGTTGTTCCCAAATAGCAATAATTCCCAACAATATCAGCATCAAATGTTATTGTTGCCCTAACACAAAATTCACTTATTTCTTTATACCCCATTGATCCATCTCCACCACCAATAGGTCCTCTAGCCGGTGCATTTAAATCATGATTTTCCCTATTCAATAATCTCCATCCATATCCAAAAAATGGCAAACCAAAAACTATTTTCTTAGAAGGAATTCCAGATTTAATCCAATCTTCAATTCCAGCACTTCCACTAATATTTTTTCCAGAATCTTGATCTAATAATGCAGCATGAGGTCGCATTACACGCGAAAGATTAGGAGAAGTGAAATTATAAGCCATTAGATTAATCCAATCTAAACTTCTTGCTAATGACTTTGAAGGGTAATTCAAAGTACCATTAATTTTTGGTTTGTAATAAACTGCTAAACTTAGTAACAATGCTTGTTTACTTGATGTTTTAGCTTCCAAGATTATTGCGGATTGCCATTCTTTTATAAGAATTTCTAAGTTGATCATGTCTGAATTTGATTTAGGGTAAGTCCAATAAAGATCTAAGCCATGAAAATTAAAAGATCTAGCTAAAAATATCGACGAATCGATGAATTGTTTTCGAGAAGTTGGATTACTAGCCATGGTAGAAAAAGTGACAAAATTAGAATCTTTAATGGACAATAAGGTTTTAATTGAAGGGTTTTTTTGTTGAACATTTTTTGTGAAAGTGGAAAATGGTGATATATTTGATGAGGAAATAGAGACTTGAAAATCTTTGGGATTAATATCAGCAAATGCACAAAAAATATGAGTGAAATATTTGGATTCAATTTCAGAAGCTGAGAAATTAAAGCTAGAAAGCCAATAGGCTGATCTAACTACTTGTTCTTGACATAAAGCAAAATGTTGAAGAAAAACAAAGGGAAACAAGAAGTAAAGAAGATTTTGAAAAACCATTTTTTGCGTAAAATAAAATTCGTAACTCAAATTGGTTTGAGAAATGAAAGTTTAGAGCTTGAATATTTATAGGGGTGATGGGCATAAGATTGGCAATTTTAGTAGGCGTTTGGACATAAAAATTATAAAATTTTTTAAAAAAAAACAGTATTCGAAGTTAAGTTGAAAAATGGTATTTAAAATTTGAAATTGTGTTTGGACTTTGGACATGCATTTCACTTGAAAAAATATTGTAGTTTTGTGAGTGGGGAAAATAGTTTTTTTGAAAGTTTTGAAGAAGTGGTCAAAACTATTTTTTGGTTTTTGAAAATTTTATTTTTGAATTTTTTTTAATTAACTTGCAAAATTTTACGGACAAACATATTTTTTGAAAAAAAAAATTACAAAAAAGAAAAAATAATTATGGACAAATGTGTCCTATAGCACAACTCTTTGAACAAAATTCTTCTATTTCGGCTGGTATTATCCAAACTTAGGAAACATTTTCTAGTGGTCATTGAGTGTTTTCACATGCCAAATAAAGATGTTCGATATCAACTTGGATTTATTGGATAAGGCCTCTTGTAATTTGAACTTGGAAATATATCACATGATTGGTTTTATATTATACAAGCGGACTTTGTAAAGAAATTTTACACTATATAGGTTACGTCAGGTTAATATAGTCAGATCTCTGTATAATAATATTCTTATATAATAGTCATTCACTATAAAAGTCAATTTTTTCTTGGAATCGATTATGCCCTCTCTGACAATATTTCACTATAGCAGCCAAAAAATATCGAAACAAACAAAAATGTTATATAGAAGTTTGACTGTATATATCAAGTTTGTAATGAAGATTTACATGTCGATCCACATAACTTAAATTACACATAACTATATTATCAAAGACTAATTAGGCCGCCGTGGCATAATATAACTTTGTGTAAGCCACATATATTGTCTAACGTTTTAAACCTCTTCTAACGTTCTTTTTTATTTGTGTTTTATCTCTATTTTCTAAACAAACTATTAATTAATTAGCTATAAAAAAAAGTTCTTTAAAACAGTACAAATATGTTTTGCATTAATTTGAGTGAATTTCACTGCCTTTTTTCTTTTTTTTTTT